GGCACCTCCTGGGCTCTCAGCACTGCCATGCAGTGACACAGTGAGACAAACCATCTCTGGCTTTAGCTTGACCAAACTGACCTACCACTGCCCCAACCCAACCCACCTCACTGGTGCCAGCCAAGGGAGATGTCGCCTGTCAGGACTATCACAACATTTGCTGGAGAAGCACCTTTGTGAGAAGCCTGGTTTCCAGCCAGACATCCCTGTGTTTCAGACACATGACATTCAATGTAAGGCAGAGCAGAAAACCTTCCCTTCCAGTGCTGAACAGGATGACTTTGTGCTCAGCTACAGCTTTAGCTGTGATCTCCAGTTGTATTACCCTCTCCATTACCCTTTTCATTCAATTTCCTTATGATGAAGAAATTATGATAAAATGATCATTTTTCCATGTTATTTATTCTTGGTTGCCTGGCAGGTGTGATAACTGTAGAGGAGGTTATTCTTTATATTGCACATCCTAAACAGACTGGGACACCAGAGGAAACAGCTGTATCTCCATCACTCTTCTTTCCCCATCCCATGAGCTGCAGCCACTTGAAAGGAGACCCTCAGTGCTGCTATTTCTACTGCAGTTCTTCTAAACACACTCCAAGGTTCTTTCAAAGGATATTCCCTTGGAATTAGCCCTGAGAAGGAAGTTGTATGCTTAACCCAAAACCATCTGTCCCCTGCCCTGTTCATATATTCCTTTCCCCCTTCTGTGTCACCGCGCAGTGGCCCATCCAGCTGAGCACTAACCCGCCAAAGTTTGGTCCCAGCTGAGTCAAAAAAGGTTGTTTCTACAAGGCTGGGATCTTGGGGGGCTACAAAGCTGACCCATGCACCCATACAACGTGCCAAGGTGCCAGGTGATGGGAGAGGAGCAGCACCACCCTGAGGTGGATCTCCAGCGTTAGACCTCGCTCACAGCAGCAGAAAGGGAAAGGAGTCCTGCAGGTGTAGCTTGTACCAGCTTGCCAGGCCAAGATCAGTGCAAAAGAATGCACCCACAAGTACAGCTCCATGGGTTTACCTTGGGGCCTCTGCCATTCAGACACACACCAAAGGTTTTGGGTGAAGTCACTCCAGGAGAACAGCAGCCTAGAGGACTTTTGCTCCATCCTGGCTATGCACTGTACACATGGCCACAGGAGGGACACCCTGGGCTCCCCAGGTAACCACCAGGCAGAGAACCATCCACCCCTTCTGTGAGCATCTGTCAGCCACCATTCTCCTGCAGGAACTCACTGGGGACCTTTTCCTCTTTCCATGGTTTCCTCTGGAAAAAGCTGTAGAGATGGCCAGACAGAAGCAGGACATCCAGGAGCCTGGGAAGGGCATGGCTTGCACCCACTGCTCAGTTTGGGTGCCTTCAGAGACCATAGGTCAAAACCCATGCTCTGCAAGCAGAAGTCTTGTACAGACATCTCCTTTCTGCAGGAGGCAGGGAGGGACAGTCACCCCCAGTGGTCCCCATCTTCTCTTGAGTGACATCTAAGCAGGGTCAGGGATGTGCCCACGAGGTCGCAGTGTGCACCAGGACGTGGCATGAGGGTGATGATCCCCAGCTGGATCCTAAGACAAGGGGCTTGGTGTGGGAGATGCTGCCCCGGGCCGGTCTCTGCCGCCCACTCACAGAACATCTCCGGGTACCCCACCGCACAGCTTCTCCTCTCAATGCCTTTGCTCCGCAGAGAGATCAAAAGGCATCCAACCCACTGATCGCTGGGTTTTGTGTCGAAAGGCTCCCTGATTACCTCACCATTAGCTGCGCCCATTAAACAAAATCCTAAAGGTTTTACACAAAGCTGAGGTTTCAGATGAGAGGGCGAAGGAATGACTCAGTGCCTTTAAACGCCAAAGCCTTCTCCTCCGTCCTGTTTGTACAGCACCTAGCACGAGGGGTCCAGGTGCATGCCTAGGGCTCTGAAACACCGCCACAATTAACTAATAAGTGTAATAGCAGCTGTACTCCCACCAGCATGGTTTCGTTTTATTATTTAAATATTCAGTTGCGCTGGGTAGCACCTCTCAGAGATGAAATTTTCTTCAGTGAGGTGGAAAATGACCCTCCGGCTGGCCGCTGGCAGCCACTGCTGCAGCACAGGTACAGCCACAGGAGCAGCCCTGGTGCTGGTGAAATCAAGGATGGGGCAGAAGACAGCAGCCCCAGGGTCCTGCGGCCCTCGGAGTGCTGGGGCAGAGCTGGGCAAGGGGGTTTTCAGCTGGTATAAGAAGCTTAAAGGGCCGATCCGGGTGGTGAGACCCCCGGCCGTAGGCATCTCTCCAGCTGGCAGCATCTGAGGACATTGGCCACAGCAGTATCACCTGGAGTGGGGTGCAGGTGAAGGGGTGAAGGGAGGGGCACCAGAACTCTCTTCTCCTCCCTTTCCACCCGGAGAGTCGGCAACAAACACCGATTTTCAACCCTAAAAAAAGAGCCGATACAAAACAAGCAGTGGTTTGGCAGCGTGGCCTGAGGTTTGTGCTGGGGATCACTGAGTCACCGCCGGGCACCGAGCCCGATGGGAAGACAACCTCCAGCAGGACAGGTCTGCATGGGGACCCTGTGAACTCCGTACCCGGCCCGGCGGTCGCAGCCCCTGAGGAGCCCACGGCTGGCTCCCAGCGCTGCTGGGGTCTGGAGAGAGCTTTGCCCTGAGCCTGCTGCCTGCCCTGCTCCAGCGCACGGCCCGGAGCCAGCAGCTCCTATCGCAGAAGAAATAGTGCCATCTGCTGACATTCCCCGCTGCCTTCCTCGAAAGCCAGGGACGGGTGCTTATCTCCCCCCGCTGATCGGCCTTTGGGGCCGTGCCAGCCTGAGAAGCAGCCGCCCAGGGCCGGGTGGGGGGACACCCCTGGAGGGGACCATGGGGCTGGGGTGTGCGGGCAGCCTGAGACCCCCGCAGACATCCGGGGGGCCCTGTGGTTATTGGGAGTGCAGACCCCAAGCACTCCCGGGAGACCAGCTGGAGGGGAAGGTGCTGCTGACTGCCACCCAGCAGTGTTTAATTAACTTCGTATGCCCTTCACTGTAATGAATGAACACAGTGAAACCCTCCAACAAGCATGTCCGAGGGACATCCCCATCCCAAGCAATTCCTCAGTATAGCTTTTTCCGCCCTAACCTGTGGTCCTACCACCTCTGGGGTGCTGGAGTTATTGGACTCCCAGAGGAATTACTGGGAAACAGCCCTCAGCTGGTATGGTGAGTGCTCAGATGTATTTTTTTTAACAAACCCTCCCAGAACCACAAAAGCCTCATCTCCCATACAGGTCCCTGGGAGGTAACTGCATTTAGCATGATGGTCCCTGCTTGAGTTTCAGACCAGATATAAGGAAGAGTTTTGGGGTTTGTTTTGTTTTGTTTTTTGTTTTGTTTTTTTTTTACAAGGAGAGTGGTGTAGCACTGGCACAGGCTGCTCAGAGAGGTGGTGGATGTCCCATCCGTGTAAATATTCAGGTCAGGTTGGCCACTGATTTGAGCACCCTGGTCTAGCTGAAGATGCAGGAGAGTTTGGGCCAGAAGACCTTTAAAGGTCCTTTCCAACCCAGAGTATTCTCTGGATCTTTAACACATTTCTATAGATTATGTGGATTGGATCTATGTTACACCAGGACTGTGGCAGGAGATGCTGCTGGTCTCAGGCACTGGCAAGGCAAAGGTCACTGCTCATGTCCAAAACTGCTGCAGAAACTCTTTCCTGGGAGCATCTTTTCCCACACAGCAAGACACGAGGTCCCCAGGTGGGAAGAACCCTGTGACAGGGAGATGGTCCCACCCTGCCACCTCCCCAGGACACGGGAGCTGCAGGGGACCAGGTGGAAATGAGAACCCGCTGGAGCTCGGCCTGGGAATGGCCTGTGGAAAGCAAAGCTGCTGATTTGCTGATTTTCCAAGCTGACCTACCAATAGCAAAACCATCAAAGCAAGAGACACATTCCTGAGGTCTGACCCAGCATGGCAAAGTCAAGGAAAGATTCCCACTGAACTCAACAGCCACTGGACTGCGGCCACAACCCTTACATATAGCCAAGACTTATTTATTATTTTTCCCCCATGGTTTTGATCCAGACTTTGTCCTGCTGGGGCTCTGTCTCATCCTGCAACAAGGAAGTCAAATTTATCCTACAGAGTCATTTTAAAACAATAGATAACCAAATATATATAGTTAGACATACTACAGTGTATGTATAAATATAAAAAACACGTATATATTTTATATACATACAAATAACCTCTTAGACTAGAGGCCAGCATAAGAAACAAAGTAAATGCTGTAATAATTTTAATTATGCAACATATTCTGCCTAACATATTTATTTTTAATGGCAGTCATTTTAATAGCTCTAAGGCCCTGAATTAGACCAATATGTTCTTAACTATGTTCACTTTAAATACAAATGTTAATGACTTTTCCAGAGGGTCCAGTGCCCTGGATGAGCTTGCTACACAACAGCACATTCTCCTTAACATGTTTACTTTTAATAACAGGCTTAATGATGCACTTGGGGCCTTAATAACCATGTTTAGTCACAAAGAGAAAAACCAGCTACAAAATACTTTCTCTAAAAACTAGGCTACAGGGGATTGCTGCTCTGTTTCAAAGCCACACCAGCCATCCTTTAATGTGCCTCTATGTGTTTTGGCTCTGCCTGCATCCAGGCTGGGGAGCCTGGCCATGGAGGAGCAGCCCAGATCGATGTTTGGGGCTGTTTTTGGGGTGACTTGGGGACCCTGCACAGCAGCTGAGCTGTTCAGGCTAAAGGATTGCAGCCAAAGGTGGCCTCGCCTCCTCCTAACCCCAGTGCTCAGTGGTGGGTTTGGGGAGACACAGGGCGAGTTTCAAAGGAAGGTGTTCCTGGGCTCCAGCAGAGGCATCCTGGGGCTCCCACCGGCGCTGCTGGCACAGACGTGCCAAAGGGAACGCGTTTGAAAAATCACACCCACCACCCATTAAAGAAAAACACAACAAAACACCAAAAAGCACCACCAACAACTACAAAACCCCACCTCCTACATTCAGCTTTATGAGAGCTACCATAAATCTTTAATACCGCCAAATTAAGAGAGGCAGGAGGCGACAGCTGCTCTCTCTCCTTTCATGCCCAGATCAAGCCACTACTGTGGGCCTGCAGCCCCACTCGTGTCAGCCCTCCTGGCTGGGGCTGGGGGCAGGAGGGACCCCCAGGGCACATCCAAGCCAGCAGAGAGCCAATTCCAGCTCCTCAAAAGAGAATCACCCCGTGGTGTGGCTGGCAGGGCTTCTCTCCCAGGCTGTGTCCAGACCTGTCCAAGCCCAGAGCTGTGTCCAGACCTGTGAAATCTCACCTGCCCAGAGGATGCTCAGAGCTGCCCCCATGACCTGCAGGCATAGGACCAGCCCAACCCATCCCTCTCCATTCAGATTGAAGGGTCACCCCCCACGAGGTGTCACAGATGTCCCCAGAGTGCAGCAGGTCCCCTACAGCCTGTGCTGGCAGGGCTGGAGATACCCCAAGGGCAACACACTCCATGCAGAAGCATTTTGGGGCGTGCATCTTGCACCAGAAAAATCTCATGGTTTGTCCTAAATATAACCATGGCAAACTTTGCCAGGCTTCAGCTCCACTTGCATGAAAAACTCTTGCAAGGCTTGAACCAGCTCTGGTTTGTCTGCCTTCTGCCCCAGGGCCTGAGCGAAAAGGGAGGGTGGAATCCAATAGCATGTTGTGCATAAAAGATTATGCCAAAGATAACCTTATTGCTAATAATAACCCTGGAATCTATCCTGTGAATAGGCTCTATTGAATGCTTGAACACAGGCATTCCTCGGTTAGGTTTTTCTGCCTACAAATATTTCACTTGAGTCTTTAAATACTAATCACGGAATTCAGACGAAGGGGTTTTTATCTTCAAAGTGCTGCAGAAAAAAAAAAAAATTAAAATTAATTCATTAATCAAGTATAATTAAAGGGTACAAAATATGCCTTTTTCCAGAGCAGGGAGCCAACCAACGCAGCGTGAAGCCATCGTGGGGACTCCAAGCCTCTTTCCCACCGCGAACGTGATTTTCCCGGAGCGGCGCCCGGGCAGTAGCTATGCTTGTTCCCAGCAGCTCTGCTCAAGCTGTCTTCCTGACATGTGTTAGGCTGTATGTCTGCCACGCAGGAAATAGGGTTTGAAGCTCACAGCCAGGAGCAAATGCTGAGATTGAGGCTTTAATGAAGCTGGGATTGAGTGGCTAGGGTGGTTCAGTGAAGCAGTAAATGCAAACACATTATCACCTGAGAACTTGCTCCAATTTCACACCAATTAACTAGGAATGAGAGAGGAGGGCTGGGGCTGGCTGCAGAGATGGCTGATAATCCTGTGAATGGGCAGAAATGGCTCCAACGCAGACGCGCTTGTGCCAAAACGAGTTTGTTAGATAACGCCAGTCCCGGTAATTTTGTCTTGGGGAGGGAGCATGTCATTACTGGAGCTGCTTTTATTAGCAAATATTAAAAACATTTGCCGAAATACAGTTGCCCGTGAGGGAAGCAGGGGTGGAAAAAGTAATAAAGCAATAGCTGATTATTTTATTCCTCTGCCAATGAGTCATATCACAAGGGAAGGGAAGGGAAAAGGGGAGAGGGAGAAGAAGGATGGGATGTGAAGGATTATTGAGGCAAAGTCAGCAGCTCATGGAGGGGAATATCCCATCCTCGAGGAGCCCCTCAGGATGCTTAGTTCTGGATTTCAGGTGGGTTTGACTTCTAATCCACTGCCAGCAGATGTAGGTCTGAACAGGTCCCCAAAACTCACCTTGGCAGCAGTGATGGGGCCCATCCCCGTCCCCTCCACCCAGGAGCCGGCTCACCTTCACTTTTAATATTTGAGTTGCTCCAAATGTTTTCTCTGCCGTGATTATTTCCATTTTAGAAGTCTGGGTGGAAGAAGGGCAGCACTCTAGGGAAGTGCTATTAAATGGATTTCTGTGGATGGAATGCCAAAATAAATCCCACCCAGGCCAGGCTCCACATCACCCCTCCAGTAACTGCGGGTTTCAATGTCTGGGAGCAACCAGACACATCCTCTGGATCCACACGACAACCAGGAGGTTGGACTGGAGCAAACTCTCGCAGGTAAATGAAATCTTGTTTTTATTCTAAAAAGCATCAATGATAAAAAGGTTACTGTAAATGCAAAGACAAGAACCCCCTGCTGGGTTTCGTGGTGACACAACCTGGAGAAGATCTCAGGAGAAATCCTGTGTTGTGTGGTGAACCCTGGGGAAGGTCTGTGCCCCAAGAGGGGTCTTTAGTGTTGCCCCAGCTCTTTTGTGGCAAGGCAGCATCCAGGAAATTGTGTTATTCCTGAGAGCTGCCTGCCCTGCTCTCCAGCAGGGAGCTCCAACAAAATAATTGTGAGAAAGGTGCAAACAGAGGAAAAGCAGTGACTGCAATCCTATCACTCAATATTGAATTACTCCAGGCCATGGGAGGGACAGAGATATCTCCCTTTAAAATCAGGAAAGTGTTTTCTCCAGTGATGAAGGCTGGATAGCCAGCAAGGGGCCAGGACAAACCATAATATAACAAACCCAAATATAAAAAACCCAAGTATGGCCCACCCCACTAAGAGCCAAGGAGAGTGCTGGGGCTGGTTGCTGCTCCTCATCTCTAAGCAAGGTGGGCCCTGGATGCTCTCTGCCCCACTGTGAGCCTGATTTTCAGCATCCTGCTCACTTCAGGTCCTCATTGCCTTCTGAACAGATGTGGGAAGGACGAAAAAGCTGCAGCTTAAATGAGCAAGGGTCAGTAACTGCTGAGCCAGGTGCTGGACGATCCTTTCCCCAGGGCAGGTGGAGTGGGGGCTAGAGGGGCACCTTGTTCCAGTTGTTCTAGCCATGGGAAGTGGGGATCTGTGGCCTTCCCTGCTTGTGGCATGCAAACCACTCTCCCAAGCAGGAAAAACACTTCCAAGTGGCAGATATCCCATTCCATACACAACGGTGCTCCCGAGCCCCGGTGCAAATCCACAGGGCTCTTCCTGTCCTCGCTCTCCAGCCTGTAATTATCTTAAAGGCAACAATTAAAACCATTGAAACACATGTGATGGGTTTAGGGAGCATAGCTTGGCTAATCCCCACAAGCATCCCGGAGGAGCGGAAGCGAGGAGTTCCCAGGGTGCTGCTGCTTTGCTGGGCAGGTAGGGACCAAGTGGAGCCGCAGGGCATCAAGCTCGGGGTGAGGAGGTGGCAGCAGCCTGGTCCCCAGGCAGTGTGGGACCCCTGGAGTCACCCTGATGGCTGTGACCAGGCTGGGGGAGCTGCAGGAGGGCCTCCCTGCTCCTCACCTCACCTCGACCCTTCCCAGGGTCACACAGAAAGTTGGTGACAGAAGGACCCCATCCTCAAAACTTGCTTAAGCTCTGATTGTAAACTTCAATACCAAAATATTCCATCTTCCTTTTCCCATGTCAGTTCAGGACATAGCACAGTGAGTCCTGCTCCATTCCCTATGTCAGATACAAAAATAAAGCCATGTTCAGACACAGCCCCTTCTCCCCTTCCTGCTTCTTTTACTGCAGCATCATGCTGTTGTTTGATTTCATGAAGAAGAAGTTTTCCAAACACCTGTGATGCTCTGCTTGAGGAGTCCCACGGCAAGAGCAATGAGATGAATAGTGAGGGATTGCATGAAATATCACTGTCCTGTGCTCATCACTTGTTAATTTATTTGTTTTTCAGGAATCATTAGTTTTGTTATTTTTCTGAAAGCATCGCCCTCCTGGAGCCACATTATATGCGATTTTCTGCTCTGCTTTCTTTAAGAATTGGTTTCTAACCTGCCCCAAAAGTGCTGAACCAGCTTTGGAAGCTTGAAAATGCAGGGAACTACAGAGCAAAAAAGAGAACACAAACTCTTTGTTCTCAGTATCTCGTGATCTTAAAGTGCTCGAGGTGATCTCAGGGGTGTCAGGGCAAGGACAGAGCCACACAGGGCAGCTGCTGGCTGATCTCTTTTCCAGCCCTCTTGTTCTGCTTTTCATTTCCCCCTAACACCTTCTTTTTTGTGATATGGTGTTTTAAATGTTCTTAGAATTCGCAAAATTTCTACATTTTCTTCTTTTTCCCAAAACCGAAATATAATTGTAATCATTTAGACTAAAAGCAAGTAATTTTCCCTTTAAAATACCTTTTTTAAGACTCTTTTTTTACCTTCTGCTCAAAAGAAACCTGTGTTTGCCAAAAAGAAAAAAGTCTTTTGATTCAATTCAAAAAAATTCAAACTCCTTTTTAATTAAGTATTTAATTTCTGAATGCTTACTTTCTCTTCATTTTTTTTCTGCTTTTTCCATCCCATTTCTCCCCTTTCCTCATTTCTAAAATGCAAATAATTGAGAAAAACATTCCCTCCTGAGCCACTTCTGTTGCTGCTGCCACCAACAGCCCCAAAGATGCTCCCAGCCCCATGCTCCCCTCACCAGGGAAGGAGCCTGCAGAGTGTCCCAGACCTCTTCTTGTGCTCCCAGCTCCCTGTGGATACCCGTCCAGCTGCATCCAAATCACAAGACAGAAACAGCCAAGGGGCTGAGAGAGACAGAAAAACCCATAGAAAATCCAGTCATGGGTTGATAGGACCCCAAAAGGGCTGTGTCTGTTTTATGAACTGGGTGAGGAGTTACCAAGGCAGAGGAGCATCACCCTGGGTGACCAAAGTGCTGCACTGCTCAAGATCCAGGACCCCCTCACAGGCAATGTGTGTGTCTTACATTCTCTGTATATTTATTACACAAATTCTACACATCTCAGGTTGTAAATTACTCAAATGTATAACTAAATGTTTCCATTTACCAAAAAAAAAAAAAAGTATATGCAGCTGTTGAACACAGAAACTTTTCTCTCATGGGCCATCTCTGACCAAGGCATCCTCCGAGTGAGCTGCATCTTCCCCCAGCGCTTTCATAAGCTGCACAGCAGACAGACATTGTTTTTCCATGTATTTATTGATTAACAGCAGCATTTTAGATAAGTGAAGCCCAGTTGCCTTTAAGGGCTTAAGTGTCATTCAGTGTTGTGGGCAAATGGGAAATTTTATTTGGTAGTTGCTTTCCATCATGTGAGCATCTGACATTTTATTTGTATTTCTACAAATAAAAGTCTATTTTAAGCTGGGAAAGGGAGACAGCAGCAGGGCTGGTGTGAGCTCCAGTTTCCCTGAGCAGCCCACTCTGAGTTGGGAGATTAATACTGACTAGAGGAGCAGCACAGGGATGGGGATTTACAGCAGTGCCTGGTTTTTCACAGCAAGAGTGAAAAAAACTGGGGAAAGGAAAAAAAAAAAAGTGAGAGGGATGGAATCCTATCTCCAGCTACTCAGATCAAAATGTTCATAAGGCAACAAGTTTCTTCTGGGCATGATGAATGCATTAGAGGGATGTTCAGCCTATGTAGCCCAGAGATCAAACATAGTGATCTCCTCTGCCTTTAAAATGTATGAAGCTGAAAGATCTTAAGGGCAAATAAACTTACTTTGATTGCAGGGCTGGGATCTTGGAAGTCACATTCCTTTAATTTCCTTGAGCTGGTTGCCTTCCCTGTGAAGCACATGCACAGGGTGGTGAGTTTTCAATGGAAACTGGTTTTGCCTCATTTTCCACTTCTCTCCTGTTACAAGGAAAGAAGTGCTGAGCTCCAGAGGCCTACCTGCCTCTTCCTATGCAGACAGAAAGGGCTGGGTGTCTGTTTTTAATTACAGCCTGAAAGTACTGCATTTAAAAGACAACAGAAAGCTATTTAATTAATACTTATCATTAGCACACATAGGAATGCCTAGCAGCAAATTGCAACAACAAAGCAGTTCCTTTTTACTTTTCTTTCCTTGCTCTTTGGATAAACCAAAAAAAAATAAGAGTAAACAAATGATTTGCACCACGTTTGAGATGACATTTTGCAGAGTGAGGGTAGTGGGATAGTTGGTATTACCCTAGGAGAGCAGAGATGTCTAAGAGCAGCCTTATCCATCTCCAGTTGTTCAACCTCCAGCTCTCTTGGCCAAGAAGTTTATCTTCATCCATCCATCTATCTATCTTTCTATCCCAGCATTTACACCGGGCTCATCCCCATGTTTGAGCGCCTACTTGTCTTCATACCTGTCCATAAATTACATGGGGCCCCCAGGGCATTATAAATAATAATTCAGCTCCCAAACCTTCAGAACACTGTTTTAAAGCA